CACACATCCACTCGCTCAGGTGGTTAACACAAGACTTACAGGCTACATGAGGTGCCCATTTCTTGTCTTGGTCACCCAAATGACATTTGAAGTAACTTTTGTAGTTCAGTCGAACAGCTTTTGTGATTGGTTTCTTGAGGCTACCAGGAGTGAAGGCACCACATATGTAGCAAAAACTGTCAGCACCGTTCACACACTTGCGACGTTCCATGTTTTGTTAATTTCAGAGTAATTACAAATCATGCAGGTGTAGATATGCAATATCATGAATCAGCAATCTGAAACAAATAAAAAAGCACAAATCAGGACAAAATAATTGCATAAGTGGAGCCAATGAGCATATAAATTACTGTATCAATAGCATGTTACACTAAATATATAGATATGCTGGTTCTGGAAAACTGAGCCTGATACAGCTATACGAATGTCATAATTGAGTTCAGCACATACAATTACACTAGAATCAGACTGTTTTGATCCAGAAACATGAGAATTTTTTTTTTATGTTGACCAGTGTTATCAGGGATTAAGAAGGTACCTAGGTGAGGTTACCTGGGAACAGTCACGTCAGTCCCCAGTGGGAAGGGGTGAGGTCATAGATGACACAACAGTTGATCATGACTATAATATATTCACTAGTATACTACATAAAGCACAAGAACAAAATATACCATACAGAAAAATTAGGCCAAATAAGAATGAGCCAAGGTGGATGACCAGAAAACTTAAACATGACATAGGAATAGAGAAAGGAATTTATAAGAAATTAAAGGGAGGGGAGGAGCAGCTCAGAAATAGGTATAATGAACTATCTAGGAATGTTAAGAAAAATGTAAGGAAAGCAAAGAGAGACAATGAAGTCAAAATAGCAAGAGAATCCAAGGCGAATCCCAAGGGATTTTTCCAGGTATATAGAACAAAAGTCAAGGACAAAGTTGGGCCTTTAAAGTCAGGGAGAGGACAAGTGATAAATGGCAGTGGAGAAATAAGCAAAGCATTGAACAACTACTTCTTATCAGTTTTCACAGAAGAAATTCGCGAGGAAATTCCAGAGGTGAAACTGATATTTAGGGGAAAGGAAGAAGAGAAATTAAGGAATATAACTATCAGAAAAGAGGATGTTCTTAAGAGGATAAATAAACTAAAGAAGACAAAATCCCCAGGACCGGATGAAATTTTCCCTCGAGTATTGAAAGAGTATAGGGAACAGATTGGCGGACCCCTTGTAAATTTATTTACAAAATCATTAGACACCGGAGTTGTGCCAGACTTGTGGAAACAGGCAAATGTAGTACCCATATTCAAAAAGGGAGACAGAGCATCAGCGTCAAATTACCGGCTGATCAGTTTGACATCAGTAGTGGGGAAATTTCTTGAATCAATTATAGCAGATGGCATCCGATCACACCTAGAGTAAAGCAAATTAATCTACGACTCGCAACATGGGTTTACAAAGGGAAAATCTTGTCTAACAAATCTGCTGACGTTTTTTAGGAAAGTCTTCGAGGTAGAAGATATTGACGAAAATTACGATGTTATTTACTTAGACTTTAGCAAAGCATTTGACAGAGTTCCGCATCAGAGGCTTCTGAGAAAAATTAAGGCTCATGGTATCGAGGGGAAAGTTTTAAATAGGATAAAATCATGGCTCACCGATAGAATGCAGAGGGTCAGCATAGATGGTGTTAAATCTGAGTGGGGCCGTGTAACCAGTGGGGTTTCCCAGGGGTCAGTACTAGGCCCACTCTTGTTCATAAGCTACATAAACGATCTAGATACTGGGATCATCAGTGACATAAGCAAGTTTGCGGATGACACCAAAATAGGACGGCAGATTAATTCAGGGCAGGATGCAAATGCATTAGAGGAGGATCTAAATAAACTGCAGGGGTGGTCTGAAAAATGGCAAATGAAATTCAACACCAGCAAGTGCAGCTACTTAATATTGGAAGAACAAATACTGACAACTTATACAGCTTTAACAACATCAACCTAGAGAAGTCGACTTGTGAAAGAGACCTAGGGGTAATTGTAAGCCCGGACCTAAGGCCTAGAAAAACAGTGCGTTAATGTTCGAAATAAGGCAAACAGAGTATTGGGTTTTATATCTATAAGTGTAAGGAATAAGAGTGCAGAGGTCTTATTGCAACTATATCTTGCGCTAGTCAGGCCGCACCTCGATTATGCGGTTCAGTTCTGGTGCCCTTATTATAGAATGGATATCAATTCACTAGAGTCGGTGCAGCGAAGAATGACGAAAATGATTCCGGGACTTAGAAACCTTCCATATCAGGATAGGTTAAAGAAACTTATCTTGCATTCCCTAGAAAGACGAAGAGTGCGGGGAGATATGATAGAAGTATTTAAGTGGGTGAAAGGAATCAATAAAGGGGATATAGATAAAGTTCTTATCATATCCGAGCAGGATAGGACTCGGAGCAACGGATTCAAGTTGGATAAGTTTAGGTTTAGGAGGGAGATAGGTAGAAACTGGTTCACAAATAGGGTGGTGGACGAGTGGAACAAGCTTAGCAACTTTGTAGTAAGTGCTGGAACTCTGAAAAATTTAAAAAGGAGGCTAGATAGATTCATGGATGATAGAGAGTGGTAGTAACTCTCGACAGGAGCTGCCATGCACAGGCCAACCGGCCTATTGCAGACTCCTTATTTTCTTATGTTCTTATGATGATGTTTCCTTGTTGTCTCCACCTTATTATAGTAATGCAATCAATACCCAAAGAAGGTTAGCAAGGCATGATAACTTTCCCAATGTCAGGAATAAAGATGTATACAATATGTTAATGACATTGCCTAAACCAGCAGTTGAAGAAATGTGTCCGCTGTTTAAATGGCCGTTTATTTGGGAAAATATTACATGTAAATATATGGATCCTTACCAGAGAGGCTTCGAATATAGGTATATTCATGAAACTACCAACAAATAAGAGAATAAAAATGTTAAACATATAACAAGGTGATAGTTGTGTAAGATGTGGTGAGGTATAATCTCCTGTGGACGGAAATAAAGTCCACAGGAAAAAAGTCACATGACTTGTACACATTGACAACACAATATATGGATCACCTGAAGAATCGTCACCCCAGAATGTCCACCTGAAGAATCGTCACCCCAGGATATCCCACCTGAAGAATTGTCACCCTGCCAAACTCTGGGGTGACAATTCTTCAGGTGATCACAATATATATATATATATATATATATATATGATGGCATTGCACGTAGGTTAGGTTAGGTTAAGTTAGGTTAGGTTAGGTTAAGTTAAGTTAGGTTAGGTTAGGTAAGCTTAGGTTAGGTTAGGTAAGGTTAGGTTTTTTCCGTGCCTTGTTATCTGTGACTTTTTTCTTGTGACTTTTTTCCAGGATTATAATTTCCATTACATATATTTTACTTCTGCTTCCATAACAAAGACATAATTAAATGGCTTAAAAATATCCTGAATACATTTTGCAATGTTAATAGCAAATTATTATTGCATTTTTAATGTTTAATATTAACTGTGGTAATAATAAGGATAAGAATACAATGCTCATACTAATGTTAGATCATATTTACTGTATGTGGTTAAGTAGGAAGGAAAATTATAAAGCGGGATATATTATAATAAATAGATAATCAAGTGTATTTTAAAAGAAAAGTCATCCAAATATTTCACGGACAAATATATTAAAAGGTATTATCTATGTACAGTATATACGTAAATTGTGACATTTTAAATAAAACATGAAAAAAAAATACTAGGCATTTTCAAGAGATATGAGTAACATACTTGGAATAAGCGTGAATAAAATAGTTTAAAAATGTGGTTTACAGCAACATTTAAAAATACATTAAATATAATGAAAAAAAAACGCCACTACTTCCATATCCCTGCAAATATAGTGGGACAAGTAAAGTCGGGCGGTAAAAATTTTAATATTACACCTGAATAATTTGAAGTATATTTCATTTTAGGTAATTGTCCAATTTAGGGCTCCACCATATTTAGTTTGTGTGTGTGTGTGTTTTATGAAACGGGAATTTCACAAGAATGTGTGTTTTTTATGTATTCTTTAGTTTCACAATGGGGAAGATTTCCAGTAGCCCTGCTGTCTCTTAGACCCCTGCAGAGAGTTTGCCAACACTTACAATGGTCAAAGTAACCTAACTTCACAACTTAACCTTCCTTCTATGTGAAACTAAGCATGGGCTCACCCAGGGGCTCTGCACGCCCTCGGACGGCCCCAAATTTTAAATATAATAGCGAAGATATTAAGGTTATATGGCCGCTGCTCGTCTCGTCACAATGATTACATTATATTATCGTAGGCACTCAATTATCGAATTACTGTTTGCCAAATACAATATTTTCAACGATTTTACACTCTGGGCAAGCCTCCAATCTTATAATAATCAGTTAGTATAGAAGGAAATAATGTTTAGACTTTATCATTTCATGTATATTAAATATAACAAGGAAAGGAAACTTCCTTACCGTCGCTTATGAATCACACTGACTAGATACCTGCAAGTAACATCCTTCTTCCCCGTAAATCTGCTGATTTGAAACATGGCCGACTCCAAACAAGGTATCTTCCTGCATATGGATAGCATTATTATTGTATACCATTGATACTATACAGTACGGTTTGTGATAGTGCACACCTGCATGGTATAAATATTGATAACAGTATGAGTAGTTATGTCCTTCTCGCCACACATTAATTGGGCAGGATATAAAACTTCATTCGAGATCGGGGTTCATTCAGGCATAGGTAGTCACACCACAGCCCAAGACTTTAAGTCGTATCGTACAGTGTGCACACTGTTACCAGACCAAGAGAAGAACGAACTGCGGTACAGTACACGAACTTTTATGATTGACTGTACATACAGTCCATCAAATATGGTTTAAATCAAGATCAGTTCCTAAATTCTCTAGTTTACGCGGGAGTTGTGTGTTTGAGAAATAATTACATACTTTATGCTTATTTATTTACAGGTGCAGGAATCGGACTAGTGGTATTCCTGTGTGAGCAGTTAGTTCATAAGTGTGTTCATCAATCACAGCCTTGAGCACCTTAACAACAGTACGTCAACCAAGTTATGTAAAATTAAATAAAACTGGTTATTTTATGCAGTAATATCAATATCTGCACAAAGGTTGAGTATAAAGACACAGGGATTATTATTGTAATGATTGTCTGCATCCAAAAATGTTTTGTAATTTATCTGCCTTCTGTTGTTATTTTGGCCTTCTTTTGGACTTTTACAAGTAAAATTGAGAAGTTGTTGTGTGTGTAAATGTTAGTATGTGTGTGTGTGTGTGTGTGTGTGTGTGCGCGCGCACCACAGGATCAAGAAAAGGGAGAACTAAGATATGTGGCTGCAGTTTACATTCCTGCCTTACCACATAAATCAACTCACGGGCAACCACCATCCAGCTCACCATACTTTTCATCATCATCAGCACCCCAAGGCCCCCACAAGTCCAATGGTGACAGACGAATGGCGATGGGGACAGGCAAATATTGCTGCCGGGAGTCTCTAGTCACAACTTTTTTGTACATAGGCCGCAGAGATAAGAAAAACGTTTATGTACTGGGATTTAGGCAGTAATACAATCCAATCCTGTCTGTGCAACTGAGCAGCCCTTTCCGAGTCTCGCTGAATCACTTACCTCATGCTTTCTCCATCAGTGCATACGCCCCAACACTGGATGAAGAAGACACCAAGGAGGCCCTTTATGCCGACCTTGACAAAGTGCTAATCTCTATCCCCAGAAAAGAAAAGGTTGTGCTCCTAGATGACTTCAATGCCACAGTTGGCAGAAATGTTGACTTATGGTAACGAACCATATGGAGAGAAAGATTGGGTAAGTATAATCCCAACGACCTACTCCTCATCATCAAGTGTGGTGAATCCAACCTCACTGTCACCAACACCTTGTTTAGGCAAGCCAACAAGTTCAAGGATTTTTGGCAGCACCTACGATCCAAACATTGACAATTCATTAAGTGCATCTTTGTCAGAGAAAGACATCGCCTCCAGAAGAGGTTTTAACACCAATGACGGCAGGATCAAGTGGCAGACACTACTCTCAGAGAGCAGCTCGAGTATGGACTGATAACAGCCCAACAATAAACAACCAAAATCCGAATGCCGAATGGGGTATCCACGATGTTGTCATCACAAAAACCTGCAACGAGACCCTCGACCAGATCGAAAGAAAACACCAGAATTGGTTTCATGAAAATAACCAGGGAATCTACTTACTAGTCAATGATAAACATGATTCTTTCACTGACTCATAGAACTACCTTCAGTTATGGACCAAAGCTGATATTTTTGCCAGAAGAAAACGTTGACCCAGAGCAAACATTGCAATATAAGGAACGAATGGTGGAAAATTAACATGTGTGAAACGCAAAAATTTGCAGACCAATACAAGATGGGTAACTAAAACAATGTATGGCCCAGCTACTCGTGGCACGGCCAGTCTCCGCTCATCCGACGGTAACTCCTCAATTAATGACGAAGACGGTATAAGTCAGCACTGAAAACAGCACTACCATTCGCTGCTCAGCCGAAACACCGATGTGGATGTCCTGACTATTCAGCAGGTCCCTTTGCACCCACCTCAGCTATCCTCCATCCCTGGATGAGGTAGTTACTACCATCAAACAGATGAAAAATAACAAAGCCACAGGGCCTGGTAAAATCCCAGCCGAGATGTATAAAACAGGAGGGCCTCTGCTTACCAGCCGTCTCCACTCTCTCCTGGAGAATACAGTATATGGGAGGAGGAGGAAATTCCCAAAGACCTTATTGACGCCTCCTTCGTCAATATTTATAAGAACAAGGGAGACCGGTCAGACTGTGGCAACTACCACGGGATCTCTCTGCCGTCCATAGCTGGCAAGATTATTACCAGAGACCTCCTAAACAGACTTCTTACTGAGGCGGAAAACTTCCTCCCAGAATCTCAATGTGGCTGTAGACCGTCACGTGGCACCACTGACATGACCTTTGCTGCCCGCCACATACAGTAAAAGTGCAGAGGACAGTGTTGTAACTTGTACATGGCCTTCATCGACCTTACTAAGGCCTTCGACTCGCTCAACAAGGAAGCTCTGTCGTTTCGGTTATCGACCAAAATTCATCACCATTGTGAGGGAACTCCACAAAGGCATTAACATCAGTGCCCTTCACATTGGCACCCAGACTGAGTTCTTCCCCATCCAAACGGGGGTAAAACAAGGATGTGTACTGGCACCAACTTTCTTTTCCATTATCTTGGCTACCTTTCTTACTCCTGCCAGTACCAATTTAGCCGGCGTATTAGACATTCAGTCCTGGATGAAGGGACTTTTCAACATAAGATGGCTCTAGGGAGGGACAAAGGTGCCGGCCACTTCCATCACTAAATTTCAGTGTGCAGATGACTTCTCCCTTGTTCCTGACACTCAACGTGACCTACCAGAAATCCTGAACACTTACGTAGATGTGTATGCACACTTCCCTCTGTTATGTTACCCACTTTCTGTATCTTGGCTCCCACTTGTCCACCACCGCAGACGATGAAGAGATTTAACATCTGATCAGAGGTGTATAACAAGCCTTTGGCAGACTACGTACCCGTATCTTTAGCTGTAGGGAGCTAAAATTATCTACAAAGCTGCTATGTATCAATCAGTAGTCATCCCCACCCTTCTGTATGGCAACGAAACATGAGCCACATACACGAGGCACCTCAAGACTTTCACCAACTTAGTTTACGTTCCATCCTCCGAGTTCATTGGGAAGAAAAGAGATCAAATGCCAGTATTTTGCTGATACCTACTGTAGGAGCATCGAGGCTACCATTATCCATGAACAACTACATTGGACTGGCCATGTAACCAGCACGGACGACAGTAGATTACCAAAGCAGCTACAATACAGTCACTCAAAGAATGGTCAATGTAATGCGGTCTGACAACGGAAAAGGCTTAAAGATAGTCTTAGGACAAATCTGAAAAAGTGCCAAATCGACCCCCTTTCCTGGGAGATGATCACTCTGCACCGTGTCAATACTTTCGAGTTAGCTTGACTGCATACCAAGGCAGACAAGCAGCAGCGCTGAAAAGACGCTGCCGCCGCCTATCCTCCATTAGATTTAGCCCTCTACACGTGCAACATCTGTGGACAGCCCTGCCGTTCCCATATCGACCTCTCGAGGCACTCCAGAGCATACCAATGAAGTTGACAACTTTAATAACTCTTATCATTGTATGATAGCTGGATGATCGTGTGTGTGTGTGTGTGTGTGTGTGTGTGTGTGTGCGTGTGCGTGTGTGTGTACACACAGGGCGGTGTAATGCATCTTTTGTGGTAGCATTATGTTAGTGATAAGATGCTTGCCTCGTCTCACTTTCAGCTACCGCCGCTGGTAAGCTCTCGTGGCGAACAGGGAAGCAATTTGCATGAATCTTTCCCTGCACTGTTGTGCCTCCTCGTAGCAATACACTGTAACTGGGTGCCTCGTGGGCCCAGGCTAGACCAGCAGGGGATCTCGTAGTAGCATGGGCCCCGGAGGGACGGCGCATAGGCCCACTGGCATGTAGACACTTCCTGACGCCTATCAACACCTGCCCCGCTGCCTTGCGGATTAACCTTGGTAGGTATAAGGCTACGGGAGTAAACCCCAAATGAAAAATCTGCGGTGGAGCCCCGCATCAGGCAAACTTGCTTACAGAGCTCCAACAAGACCCCAACGGAAGGAAAAGGTGGCAGAGGTGACGAACATGGGAACCCAGGGAATACACCGGCGGAAGAAGGCAATGCATGATAGACAGGCTACTAAGGCGAAACCCAACAAAAAGGGTTATCGGCAGTCCATTGCAACTCTCCCTTTCCCCAGTCATTGCAACATTTGTACACTGGATCAGGAAAAGGGACAGCCAAGATGTGTGGTTGCAGTCTGCGCTCCTGACTCACCACATAAGTCAACTCACACTCATCCATCATCCAGCTCATCATACTGGGAAGAAAAGAGAACAAATGCCAGAATTCTCGCTGACACCAACTGTAGGAGCATCGAGGCCACCATTATCCATGAACAACTACGTTGGACTGGTCACGTTATCTGCATGGACGATAGTAGACTGCCAAAGCAGCTACTTTACAACCATCTAACAGATAGTAAACGTAACGCCGGAGGGCAACTGAAAAGGTATAAGGATAATCTTAAGACAAACCTGAAAAAGTGCCAAATCGACCCTCTTAGATGGGAGACGATCACTCCACACTATAACGCTTGGAGGATCACCACACGAGAAGGTGTCAATACTTTCGAATTAGCCCGACTGCAAACCGAGGCAGACAAGCGCCAGCGCCGGAAAGACGCTGCAGCCATCCCTCCCGCACTAGATGTAGCCCCCCACATGAGCAACATCTGTGAACGACTCTTCCGGTCCCGTATCGGCCTCTTTAGTCACCTTAAAACTCACCAACCCAGGTGACATCCTTAATAACTCATATCATTGTATCATAGCTGGATGATCGTCATACTCGAATCCGAGTAATAGCAAAGTAGTAGTAATAGTGTGTGTGTGTGTGTGTGTGTAGTCACCTCAAAAGGTCCGTGATTTCGGCAATTAGAATGAACCGTTGGAGAGAATTCTGGGAGTGCTATGGTTCAGTTCTGAATTTCATCCCATAAATGGTGCTTCTTATAGCACGAGTTAACAACACTACGCCTAGAGTAGATGCCGAGTCTCCCAACGCCTGACAACTTTATCGGTTTCTACGGCAAAGGTGTCTCTTAACTGAATAACGCCGTCTGGCGTTAGCAAGAAAAAAATACCTAAGTACACCGCTACTCTACAAAGGGTTATACAAAAATAATTAATGTGAGAATAAGCTTAAATTATAATAAAAAAATGTTGAAGACTGTGGAAGTATAGATTATTATTATTTTTCTTTTCCCGCTTACAGCGGCTACTTTATTGTGCACCCCACACTCATCCTGAGAGCGGTAGCGCAAAAGGATTACAGAGTAGAGTTTACAACGGGTCATAATAATTAACCCCCGTTGTCAGGATGTTAT